ACACACACACACACACACACACACAAATGCCTGAAATGAGGCCGAGAGACAGGGAAAGCCAGAATGAGGTGGTCAGGTTGGGGGTGTGGGGAGAATTCCCCTTTCTGGGATGGGTCTTCACTCTTGGATCCAAGTTCATGATAAGCTGCACACCAGACTCAGGCTACTGACTTCCCATCTGACTTAGCCCTTGAACTTGCAGACATAGGGTAAGTTCTCATTACAGTTATAATCTCTCCACTTCCGATACCCTGAAGAGACAGAAGAGCTCAAGTGAATGGGGCTGGTGGAGCTTGAGAACCCAATGGGGACACAGCCCAGATTCTGGCCTAGCACACAAAGGCTCTCTCTCAAATTCACCAGGGTCCCACTCCAGGGGAAAGAGAGAGAAAGAAAGGAGAGGTGAGAGGGGATGGGAACAGACAAGCAGTTCCATCCCAGGAGGATTCTCTGAAGACCAGACCCAGAAATAGGGGATGAGGGGATGGAAAAGGCTGGGCAGAAGTGACCTCCTCTGTTTCCTACCTGAGCTTGTGGACAGGCTCCCACAATAGCCAGGGGATGAGCTGGTGAAGGGATCTGTCTCCCAGGCAACGTAATTGAGCACATCATTGCTACTCCACTCCCAACCACTGCCATTGGGCCCAGAGCTCTATAGAGCAGAGGATGGAATCAGGTGAGGTGGAAAGGCCTTTGGAGGTCCTGGCATGATTCCCTCAGCTGGAACACCTGCTACCCTCCCCAGCATCATGGAATTAGTTCTGCTCTACCAGGTGATGCCCCACAGCTCTCCTCTGGGAAACACTCCCTAACTCTTTGCTTCTATTGGCAAATTCAAAAGTCAATAATCACAAAGACGAATAGAACCCCTCAGAGTAACTTGACATTGTGTGAACTACACTTGGTGATACATTTGTGATTACCCTCTGAACCTCCAAGACAACATATGTTTTATAAGGGGAAAATGCATCAATCCTAAATACTCATTTAGCACTTGCTAAGGGCAGCCTGTGCAGGCTCAGGGATGCACAGTGAACTGAATCAAGGTGTGGTGTGTGAACTGTGTAAAAACTTGACAAGAGGCAGATTAACATTAGCTGGAGACTGGAGACCTGCACAGAACTCAGCTCTGCAGCTGGTCTCAAGGCCCTCCATTCTCCAGTTACCCCCTTGATCTCCGAGCTCTAGGGATCTCTACGTTATTTCCTAGGCAGGCACAGGGGACAGCCAGCAGGCCTGGGTGGCTATGGCATCCTGGGAGGAAACAGACTAGAGAGGATGTAAGTGTACCTCTGTGGGGTCATGGAGCCCAATCCAGACGTCTGAGGGGGTTTTCAAATTGTTCTTGACCAGGGCGGCCACGAAGGATCCCTCAGCCCCACTGAGCACAGACACAAGGTGTCCTGAGGGTCTCTTCTGGCAGGCCATCTGTGTGGAGAAGGGAGAGACTGAGGAGGAGCTTGAGACCCTCACTGAGGGAACGGCAGGGACAAGGTAGGTGAGAAGGTGTTGTGTTTGCAAAAGATGAGGTGCTCATTCTCACCCTCAAGAAACTCTAGAGAATGGAGACTCCCAGCCCCCAAACCCTGTCTCTAATTTGCTTCTCCTTATCAGCCCGAACTGCAAATCCCAGCACTCACGTTTGCATTCATCCAGGTTTTAGGTGCTGTAAACAAGGCATAGCAGTAGGATGCATAGGCCATGGAGCCTCTCGGACAGCTGATCCGTGCAGAGGGCAGTTTCTTCTGGGAATCTTCCCCTGGTGAGGAAGAAATAAAGGAGAAGGATGGGGTGAAATGGAGAGAGGGGATTGGAGTGGGGAGGTGACCTTGAGGAATATCTGTGGTGCCGTGGCTTGGGGTACTGACACCAAACTCCTGACTGCCTGTCACCAATGCCAACATTTCCAGGAGTTTTTCTTAATCATAAACTAGATCTAGTAATTGGGAGATGGTCTGTTTTCTTTTCATTCATCTGCCTTATTCAGAAGTCCAAGCCTCCTCCTCGTCTTGGCTGACAGTTTCTACACTGGGTCCTCCAGTCATTCTCCTTCTACTCATCTCATTACTGACACTCTATGCTTTCCCTCCTTAATATACCCACATAAATTTGACCCTACTGAAAACTGAGAATCCTGTCATCCCACTGTTACTGGACCACTGAGGTGCCTCCCACCACTAGTCACCCAGAAGGAAGGATGATGATGCAGGAATTGCAGGCAGTGTTGTTGTGTGGGAATGTACCATTACCACGGGAGACACACAGGAGCCTTCCTCCTCTTCTTGGCCCTGAGCAAACACTGGGAACCCAGTGCTAGAGGCAGAGAAGTCTCACCTTGGACTTGAGACAGGAGCATCAGGCAGGAGAGCAGCATCCAGGACAGGCTGAGGAGGCCCATGGAAGGCATAATTTTGTCTGTGATGTGTGTAGACAACCAGAGAACTAAAGGAAGGGGGGTCAGAGAGAGAATATGAGAAACCCCCTGTTGTACCTCTTGTCTTTTCCTGTGTCTAGTTCCCTAGGAATAAATCCATCTTGATGGCTTCCATCCCCTTCCATAGTTCTGGAAAGAATCTGAAAATCTATATATCCTACTACACCTGAGGCCTCCCAGGACTGCCTTTGCCTGCTCTCAGAGCTCCTGCATTCTCTGAGGACAGGGATCCTTGTATACCTTCCCTGAAATATGTGAGGTGAAACCCCTGTCAGGGGTGTCATCTTGTCTCAGCTCCTACTTACTTCTCTTGCAAGGGATCTGCACTGGTTTGTCGGGGCAGAAAAGACTGGGTTTTTATAATAGGATTTGAGGGAGGGGCACTGAAATGAACAACAGGATCGGGGAGCCGGGACAGGGGTCATGGAAGGGCCTGGCTTTGGTTCAAGGAGATTCCCGGCATGGGGAGGAACCTCTTCCCAGCAAAGCCTGGGAATTGCCACAGATATTGCCTGTTTCTCATTAACGGGTCAGCACTTTTTCCAGGAACAGGTGAAGTTTATTCTTTCCCCGACTCTTAACTGATAGGCAACTGTGGCACAAAATGTGGTATTAGCTTTTAAGGGGCACATCTACTGGAATATTTCTTCTGGTTTATGTCTCAAGTGCTCACTCCTGTAGGCATACACATGTTTTTTGTTTGTTTGTTTGTTTTGCGGTACGTGGGCCTCTCACTCTTGTGGCCTTTCCCGTTGCAGAGCACAGTCTCCGGGTGCACAGGCTCAGCGGCCACGGCTCAAGGGCCCAGCCGCTGCGTGGCATGTGGGATCTTCCCGGACCGGGGCACGATCCCGTGTCCCCTGCATTGGCAGATGGACTCTCAACCACTGCGCCACCAGGGAAACCCAATACACATGTATTTATTTTAAATTCTTCAGTAGAATTAAATAAATGTTGGATTATAAGTGGAGGTGAGTATGGGAATGACAAGTGTCACAGATAAGTGAGGTCAGAGAAGGAAATGAAAGTAAGAGGAGATGGTGGTTCAGGGTTGCCTCTTCTAGATGGTAGCTAGGTTTAAAGCAACTTCATAATCATCTTACAACTCAATAGATGAGCCAAAATCTTAAGGAAAATGAAATGTGGAAACTTGCCTCGCTGATCTTCTGAGAGATGGAACTTCCTTGATGGATAATAATAATGTGATATAATAAGAGGCAATGGAGGAATTTCAAGCCTAGGAGGACTAGAGTCAAATGATGCAGAATCAAAGGAAGAATGAGAGAGGGTTAAGCAAGGGTAAGAGCGAGAGATGGATTAAATTGTAGACCTGATCCTTACAGTGCATGGAAGTTAGATCTCTACTTCACCAAGGTGCTCACTCCCCTGGGCTGCTGACAACTGCCTCGCAAACTATCATTTGGCTGTAGAAGAGGTGTCACTTCTTTTTGTATTCTACATGGAAGGGCGATCAGCTTCATGTGGGGATACCGAGAAAAATTCCTTAGTCATGTTTACTTCTGAGTTGGCAATTTTGGCAAGGATGAGATACATACTAAGCGGCTCAGGTTTATTTTCGTCAGTCTGGGAATATGTTAAGCTGGAATTCTCTGCAGACCCTGACTCTCAAGTGGTTTTTATAGGCCAGCTTGTGTGAGATGGAGTCAATGCAACTGAGCTTGTAATTGATTCATGTCCTCAGAATCCAAAAGTCAGTAAACACACAAATAATCTAATAGGAAGGATAGGACAACCAACAGATTCTTTTGTTACAAAGGAAAAAGAACTTACTTCACAAAAAATATTTAAATGCAAAGCCATAACTATATTTAGAGCTCAGTTGAAACTGAAGTGTGAAAAAACAATATTTCATGGAAATATAGATAGCATGAGTTGAGAAGTAATCTTGCTACAGTAAAACAATTATTTGAGAAAAAGTACATAATAGCAATCAGAAACACAGAATGGCCCATGCTTCTTGAATTCCTGAGAAACACAGTGTTATGGGGAAAGATACCATTTAGATTAAAAGACTCTGAAAAGATATAACAATCTATCCTAGTGAGTAAATTGTAATAGGGTCTTGATTAATAAAGTATGCCTTTGGAGGACAATTGTGAAATATGAACTCATTTTTGATAATGACAGAATTTTCACATTTCTTTCTTGTGGTAAAACTGTCATAGTTAAATTGACAGGCATCCTGCCCTCCAGCTCCTTAAGGTGGGTGACTGAAACTTCCAACCGTCTCTTCGCTCTAAATATGGGTGTGTCTTGCAAAGGAATATAAGAGCTCACCCAAGGCTCTGGGCTGTGTCAGTGACCATATTCCCCAATCCTGGGAAAACTAAATGACTGAAGGTAGCTCTGTAGCATATCATCCCAATTTGATGAATGCAGGCAATGGCAGCAGCCCCAGCCTGATCCATAGTCAGTAAGTGCACTGTTCCTTTCTTCTTCCTCTATCAGAGCAAAACCACGTATTCATTAGCCATTGTCTTTAAAGTCACTCACATTGGTGGAGAGGGCTGGATTCATGGGGTAGAAGGAATGAGAAGAGGGCATTGGTGAATTTTTGACCTGTTTTTCAAAAACTGACTTTTTTTTTTTTTTTTTTTTTTTTTTTTTTGGT